TGCCTTCAATGCAGGAGACCCAGGTTCGAATGCTGGATCAGGAAGATTCCCCTGGAGGAGGAAGTGGCACCCCACTCCAGTACTCTTGCCTGGAGAATCCCTTGGACAGAGGAGCCTGGTGGGCTACAGTCCATGGGGTCGTAAGGAGTCAGACACGACAGAGAAGGTGCAGATACACACCCACACACACACATGTGCGCTCATGTCTCCCTTGGAGAAATGTGTGTTTAGATCCTCTGCCCGTTTCTTTTGATTTTTTTTTTTTTATATTGAGTTGCATGAACTGTTTATTTTGGAAATTAATCGCTTGTCAGTTGATTCATTTGCAAATATTTTGTCCCATTTTGAGGGTTGTCGTTTTGTTTCGGGTTCCTTTGTAGACTGTTCTTTAGACAGATACCTCATCATAAACATCTCTAAATCTTATGAAGTTCTAAATGTTTGGAGTTTTTTAGTCATTAGTTGTTACATCTAAATCAAAAGGTCATATCATGGTGTTAAGAATTAGATATAACTGATGCATTGCTTTTGCTTCACCAGGGCGTATTTTCTCATCATGCGCTTGCTTTTGTAAAAGTGAGGACCTTCCTGCACCCTCACTTTGATTATATGAGAAATATAATCTTTGTGGGTAATTTAGAAATGCAGAAGAATTTAACAAATGCCCACACCTCCAAGATAGCCACTGCTAACGTTTTGGTGCACTTCCCAATCTTTTAAATACATCTGTGTGTATTAGTTTTTCTGTATGTGTGTGTATAGTTAGGAATACGTAAGCAAAGTTGGTGTTGAGTGTACCTACTGTTTTTATATCCTGTTTTTACTTCCTTGTTTTCAGTTAATATATGTAGCTCTGTCATCACACATTTTGAGTATACTGTTTCTTCCTGTCATTATGTGTTTTAGAAGGAATTATAGTGGTTGCATGCTATTCTGTCATTGATATACCACAATTTTCATGCGTTCCCCGATTTTCGGACTTTTAGGTTTTCAAGCTTTCATTATTGTAAATGAGAACATGATAAGCAGCTTTGTGTAATTCTTGTGGACTGCTCTGTAGAAAGGCACTGCCTGCTTACATTTTCACTAGCACCAACCCAAATTCCAGGGGCAGCTCACCTCGCCAGCATTAAGTAAGACTGAGATGTCTTTGTTGCTGTTGTTAATTTGGCAGATGGAAAATCACTTACTTGTTTAAATTGGTATTTTTTTCTATTTTTTATTGAGATCCAATAGGCTTTTTAAAACTATATTGCCCTCACGTTCTTTGCTCGTTTAAAAATAATTTTTAAGATTAGATTTTTTTTCTGGTTTTCTATTTTCAAACATTCTTTATATATCAAGAATAGGTATCCTTCATTCACCATAGTAAATGTTACAGATACATTTTTCTGTTCTCTGTTTGCCTATTTGGCTTTGGCATTTTCAGATGTAAAAAACCAAAATTTATGTATTCCAAGTTCTTCAGTAGTTTCCTCTGTGACTTCTTTCTTTGATTTAATTATTTCAGGCATAGAAAATGTTTCCCCATTCCAGAGTAGATCTCATCTGAACATTTTCAGACAGCGTTTAAAGTTTTTTACAGTAAAAACACTATGACGGTATGTTTTATGTTTCTGCTTCTGTTTACAGTTCCACCCTGGAAATGTTCTTTCCTTTATGTTTGTTTATTTTTATTGGAGCACAGTTGATTTACAGCTTTGGGTGAGTTTCGGGCATACAGCAAAGTGATTCAGCTATACACATGCATATATATTTATATATGTATGTGTGCTGAGTCGTGCCCAGCTGTTTGTGGCCCATGGACGGTAGTCTGCTGACTCAGGGACTGAACCTGCCTCTCCTCTGTCACAGGTGGGTTCTTTGCTGCTGAGCCTCCAGGAAATCCCTACATATATACACACACATATATTCTTTTTCAGGTTCTCTGCCATATAGGTTATTACAAAATACTGATTATAGTTTGCTATGCTATACAATAGCTTTATGTTTTAAGCATCTGATAGATCAAATTTCTTCATCCTTTAAAAAGAAAAAAACTTCCACCTGATTTTCTGTGGATAAAATTTAGAACCATCCTTCCAGTTTCCTTAAGAACAGTCCTGTTGGTACTTCTGTTGTTTGTTGCGGTTGTGTAGTTGCCAAGTCACGTCTGACTCTGTGATTCCATGGACTGTAGCCCACCAGGCTCCTCTGTCCAGGGGATTTTCCAGGCAAGAATACTGGAGTGGGTTGTCATTTCCTTCTCCAGGGGATCTTCCCGACCCAGGGATCGAACCCCTGTCTCCTGCTTGGGCGGCAGATTCTTTACTACTGAGCCACCTGGAAAGCCCATTGGTCCTTTAATTATGACAATGTGAGTCAGTGAATGAACCTGAGAAGCATCGACATTTTCCAGTGCTCGGATTTCTTAATGGATGTGTTGACTGTAACCTGAAGCCCGATCAGAATCTAGGTGAGTGTTCCTCACATCTGAGGACATGTCCCCAGTAGATGCTGACAGGCTCCAGTCTGAGAATTGTTGAGTTAGATGATCCAGTGTGTGCTGGGGAGTAGGGAGTGAGAAGGAGGTCTGCCTTTGAGATGTGGCATTTATTGAGGGCTGCTATGTGCCAGACTCCTGCAGGACCAGCTGAGCTTTGATGCAGAAGGCATGGCCCTGGTTTCTAAAGCCTAGACTTGATTTGGATGGAAGCGTGTCTGTGGGCAAGCGATTGCATAGAGCGGGGAGTGAGGACTTGGAAGGACAGGGGTCCTGCAGAACAGAAGAGGCGGGTGCTAAGTCTGGAGGGAAGAACAGGTGTTTGCTGGCAGACAGGCTGGAAGAGCCTTTCACAAGGAGGCAACATGTGCACCGAGACGTGAAATAACTCGGTTTTTGAGCGCCACTGTGTGCAGTTCCATGCTTGAAGCGGAAGGTGGAAGACGTGGGGAGCTGGGATGGGACAGGGTCAGGCACAGGGGACTGACTGCCCTGCAGAACCAGCAGGTAGGACCACCGCTCTCCAGCATGGGGCTTCTCAGACTGTCTGTTTGTCTGGAAGATTTGCAGGAAGTAAGGTGACTGCCGGATTGCTATAGAAGTTTCTGCCTGTTCACTCACCGCTTCTGTGTTTTCTCTGAGCAGGGCCAGACTGGCATCCAGGTCAGTGGAACAGACATGATGAGGACTGGGGATTTTTTTTTTTCCCCCACGGCTCATTATTCCAAACACAGGTCAAGGTGCACTTTTGGGCCTGTGTCCACATGAGTGGTTGCCTCTCGGAGACTGAGACCACGTTGTCCGTGACACTGAGTCATTAAAGCGATGTTACTAAATGTTTTTACTCATATCTTTACCACCTGATTGTTTGAATCTGGTTCAATCATCGTGGTTTAGAAGGAAAACTTTTCTTCTCAGAATAAGTAAATAAAATGAAGTATCTAAATTGAAGTATCTGAAGGCAGGTGATTTTTTTTTTTTTCCCCTCTGAGATAAAAGCAGTGGTTCTCAACGGTGTGACAAAACCACCTGGGACTCTTTAAAAGCCAATGCTGGGCCCCAGCTCCTCAGATTATTTTGGGCTGCACCCTCAGCATCAGGACTTTTGGAAAGCTCCGCCCTGATTCTCAGGTGCTGTCAGCTTTCTCTTGTGTGGGGTGCACGATTGAGAACTGATGTGAAAGAATGTAGTACCATAATTGTTCTCCAGAATCACCTGCATGGTTGAATCCAAACAAAAACTGTCAATTGAACCTGACTCTGTACCTAAAGGTATTAAGTACAATAAGATAAATCAGATCTGTATACTAGAGGCTACAAGAGTTTTCTTCTGACCTGCTCCATCAAGTACCATCAAGTATTTTAATTGCAATTGATGATGTACCTACTTTTCAGATTCTAGACTATATAATCTAGCATAGATAAATAGCCTTATAAATTAAAGCTTGTGAAATGTTGATTCCTCTGTTGCTTACTTCACCTGCTGTTATGTCACTGTTGCAACAGCTATGGCGACTTGGGTGTCAAATTTATCTCCAAATAAGATCCAATTAGCATAACTTGTCATAAACATGCCTGTTACCCAGAGTGCAACTGTTGCTAATCTTTTAATATACAAGCTGTTGAAATTACTTATTCAGTTCTTATTTTAGAGTATTACAATGTTAGGTCTTGGTCTACAATATAGCATATCCCTTGATATTTTCTAAATCTCCAAACAGCATACGGTAATATTAGTACAGAAACACTTCTCATGGTGACTTACTAGCCTATTCATGGTGCCAAAAGCTAGCTGCCATCTCCAGAGAGAAAAGTTTTTTCCCCCGTTTATTTTGCTAGCATGATCTTCATGTGCTGAAGATTCTGAACATTCAGTGATTTACTGATTCAGTAAACAGCTTTTGGGCATCACTTGACTGGATGTTGGAGTGTGACATTTAAGGCCCAGGTCCTACCAAGACAGAAGGACATGGCCTCGTGATACTCAGCCTCCGATGCAGATGGAGCAGCTTTGTTATGTGCAAAATAAAAATAATTTTCATCCCTCCTACCCATTATGCCTGTTAGGCTTTCTATTTTGGATCTATAGTCTTAACTTCCTTAAACTCTCTTTCTCTCTCCCCCCGCCCCCCTTGTGTTTTAGAAGTTTATAATATTAGGGAATAAAACACTCTACAAGTAGTTCTACCAACTAATTTGGGAGCCATAGACCATTATTTAATCCCTCTGAGCCCCAGTTTCCAGTGCTGTAAAAAGGTGATACCACCCCTGGCGTGTTTATGTGAGCTGTTATGATGGTTATGAGAGAAGTTATATGTAAAGTGTAAATGCAAAGTTGTAAAACAACTTTTAAAAGAGAAGGAAAGAAAAAAGAAAAAAGGAAAAAACAAAACGGTGGTCTGCGCACCACAGCAAAGCCGTTTGGGTTCCTGAAACCCAAAAAGTGCAGCGGCAGCAGGGTTAAATTCCACGGAAGTTTTGGTTCCATGATGGATTTCTGACTTTTTTTTTTTTAAAGCCGGCTCCTGGAAAAAAAAAAAGGCGACTTCCTGGGTTTTCTCTGCCCTCCCCCGGTGTTGCAAAGCAGCAGGACGGCTTCCTGTCCAGAGCCGCTCGGCCCTGGGCCCCTCCGAGTGCGGGGACCCCCCTACCCCCCGCCCGCTCCGGGCCCCCACCTCCTCTCGGTCTCCCTTGCAAACACTCGCTCCATTTAGAGCCGGAGCCCGCGCGGAGAGCATCCTGCCCCTCGCGGCGCCCCGGGGATGCCAGTGAGCATGCTCCGCGCGCCGGGAGGAGGCCGGCCGTGCGCATTCGAGTCATTCCAGGCATAGCCGGCGTGTCGGCGCGGCGGACTCGCAGCGGGCTGTGAGCGGCGCGAGCGCGGCTTTGTCCTGGGAGATGGGCCGCGGGCTGCCCCTCCTCGCCCGGGTCTCCGCTGCAAGACACCCCCGTACGTTAGGCTTCTGAAAACGGCTTTTCTTTTCTTTTTGTTTTAATGCTGGATTGACGATCCAGGACGCATACCGTCTGCACACGAGCCCTCGAAGGGTTTTCTTTCTGCAAGTTCGATTTGGTGTGCCTGTCTTTTTTTTTTTTTTAAGACTTTTACTGACTTTGTTTTGATCCGAGGCCGGGCCTCCGTCTTCTGTGAAGTTTTTTTTGAAGAGGAGAGCCGGGAGCTCCTCAGCCATAGTTGACTTTGGAAACTGTACTTTTTTTTTTCTTTTCCGGGGGGCGCAAGCAAAGAGCTGGTTTTCTGTGCTAGCCCGATCAATGCTATTTATGAAGATGGACCTGTTGAACTACCAGTACTTGGACAGCATGAACAACAATATCGGCATTCTGTGCTACGAAGGTAGAGACCGTCCCTTCTAGAAACTGCCGCCCTGTTGGTTTTTGGGCAAGGCCACTCCTCCTCTCCCGGTTCCGATCGCCTTCTGTGCGTTTTGTTCTCATTTGTTGGGACTTTGAGGGTGCTCCGGAAGGCAAGCGGTGCTTTCCTCCGTACAAAGTGTTGTTGTTTGTGGCTCTTAGGCTTCAGGGGTTACACGGGAGAGGGCTGGGGGGCGGGAGGCGGCGAAATATATACATTGTTAAAACCTTGGCTTTATCCTCGCCAGTCCTCACACTTGAAACTCTTGAAAGATGTTCTTTCTTTCTTTCTTTTTTTTTTTTTTTGGATGTCTGTTGGTGTTTTCTTTAGAGGAAGAACTTCTAGGACCCAAGCAAAAAGTTAAAACATGTCGGATTTTCTTTCTCTCCTTTTTTTCTTTAACTAACATACACCATCTACTGTACAGTATTCCTGTTGTATTCCTATAGGCAGTAAGCGCTTTGCATGTGCATATAGAGGGGAACAGAAAGTTACAGTGAATTTTTGTGTTGGGGAGTGATTGTCCCAAACAATGAAGTTTTTTTTTTTCTTCCTTCTATTCATTTCGGGGGCCCGGAAGGGCACCCATGTCACGGAGCACAGACTGGCTCTTTGTCTGAATTCCCATTTCCTGTACAGCTCCGGGAGGGTTCTGACATTGAGGGATGTTCCCTCCACACTCCATTCCCTTGTGGAAGCAAGCGATTGCACAACCCACCAACCAGTAAGCTAAATTAAAAAAAAAAAAGAAAGAAAGAAACCTTCTGATTCTTACTGTTTATTATCTCCTCCTAAACCATGAGGTATTTCCCCACTGCTGGGTAGTATTTCAGGCTGTCTCTGTTAGTAGTAAGAAGAGAAAAGGCGATTTCTTAAATCTCCTGGAACATTATCTACGTGCGATTTGAAAACGTGGTAATGGTCTGAGTGCTGAGTTAGTTGGAGACACTTTGGGGAAATTCTGCCCGGCAGGGGAAGTGTTTTTTTTTTTTGTTTTTTTTTTTTTGTTTTTTTTTTGTAACCACATACAAATCTGATGCAGCAGGAGAAGTTTCCATGTTTTCCTCCTATAGTGAAACTGAGCATTTCTCTGGAAAAAGAAAACATGGAAGAAACTTGGGAGGGCGACCCGATCCACTTGTGTTTTCCATGTTAAAAAAATAAAAATAAAAACTTTAGGCCTGTTGCCTAAGCATTTGAAAAGTTACCCTTTCCCCTTTAAGGAAAAAATAATTCTGTTTTTGTTTTTATTTTATTGGATCAACTTATATTTAAAGTTGCCTCTTTTTGTGGTTTTTGGTTTCTTTTAATCCTACTTGTTCAGGGAAAGCGAATTTTGGTGAATTGCTTCCTTTGAATTTGCTCTTTTAGGTATTATCCTGCTTCTAAAGTCCCTCATTTAAAAGGCAGACATGTTTAGTGTGGTCTAAGCATTAAGTGATGGGGCTTGTTTCCTGTGAAAGTAGCAGATTGCAGCCAGTGTAAAAGAATTTTTTTCTTTTTTTGGTGAACAAGAAATGGAAAACTTTTACAGGTGCTTTCTGTTGGGTTGTGTTTGGGACAGGATATTTTCAAAACAATACAAAGCATAATAATCAGCCTAGGAGAGGACGTTAGGGATTATTAGGAAACTGATACCACATTAATCTTTTTTATATCTGCAGGTGGTGAGGAAAAGTTTACAGAAAGTGGGTCCAGGTTGCTCTGTGGTGTAGTGGATACACCCTACTCACGAGTGGTCTCCTGGCCCCCTCCTTAATTAGGAAGAAACTTTGCTTTTGAAAGTTGAGTAGATACGGGGGACGATGTGCCATACAGTCTGTTTGGTTTAAACATCTGCTGCTGTTTTCCTTATTATGAAAGTTAACATTATTTTAACACCAAAATAAATACACAGGAAATGAAGAAAAGCACAGCAAAATCTGAGTGGTGTTTATAGCGGGTTGTTTATGTCCTAGTGGTTTTCTCAGCATAAACACTGCACACATCTGCTCTGAACTCAAAAGGGTGTTTGGAAGATGGGCATACATCTTTGAAGGGATCTTTTTTTTTTTTTTTGAATAAGAAAAGCTGGAATAGTATTGTTCCTTCTAAATCCAACACTTGGAGAATATTCGTTTTAAACCCATCTGCGTTCCAGGGAAGTTATTTGGAAAATGGAATGTACAGTTGGTGGGCAGTGTTTGATTTCACTTAGAGCCCAGGCAGGTTTCACGTCTCTTGAAACTTGGACAGATTCAATTTTTAAAATTTTTAGTTAAAAAAAAAATGTTTATCATTCATTATTGTCTCGGTCCATTGTACTCCTTTCTTTAGTTGTTGTAGCGCTTTACTCCACAAAATAAGCCACGTGTCTGCACCATCTTTCCTCAACCTCTCTAGCAACTTAGACACAAATAGGTCTGTTTTAGCCAGTTGTGTCATAGCATACACGGTCTTCCTAAAATCCCACATTCTGGGTGTAATCCAAAGAGCTTAGATAAGGACCCTCTGCTTGGGATCTGCTCCTTGGCACCTGACTTGTACCATAGAAATCTGCAAGCATAATTACAAAGAGAATTAAGGGAAAAAAAATGAACCACAAACAGTAGGTCTGGGTGGGGGCCTGTTGGGATAGGAGACATTGATTGTCATAAGGCAGGGAGAATCTGCTTGTGCCTAACTTCTGGAAACTAATTACCTTTGTTGGTGATAAGCCAGTTAGCACACTATGCTTGGGTGTCTTTTCAAAAAGCTCTGGTTTATTACTGAAGTCTTCAACAGTTACCCAGGTCATCATTTGTCACCCTTCCTACTGTATGTTCAAATTATATCCGTTTGAATTCCCATTTTTGCCTCTATCTCTGAATAGGAGCCTTCATCCCCCCCCCCCTCTGAACTCCTGAGAATGCTCCGCTCGCAGATTGAAAGCCTCCTGAAGGCAGGGCTTTGTCTCGGTCACCGCTGTCTTAATCCTGAGTCCTGGCACGACGCCTGGTGTGGCCCGTGGCCCTCGAATTGGCGGGCTGAAAACTCGACGAAATCTCTCCATCAGCAGTTGTGGTCGCTACTGTATAATTTAGCACTTAATTGTCTACTGTCTCGCGTTCTTTAATTATCTAATTATTGCCAGGGCTACCCAGGGCCTTAGATGTTGCTAATCCATTTGCCTCGTTTTCGCCAAGGAAACTGAGGCCCAGAGCGGTCAGTTGTCTGTCCTAGTTTATCCCTCGGGTCTGTGACGGAATTGAGTGGAGGAGCGGACCCACTCAGTGGTTTTGACTGGTCTGTTCTGTACCAGGTCTCTGAAATTCTGTGGCGTCTCCTCGCTAGTTACTCGTGCCCCTCTTGGTGTGAGGGAGCATGCTCCGTCCTGGGGACCGTCAGAGCCCGCCGCACACGGACAGCATCTTTTGGCGCATGATGAACAGGTTGAGTCTGACCTGCGTTCTTCCTTGCTCCAAAACTGGTTGCTGCTCTAGGTTGCCCCCCTGTTGCTGTGACCAGGCAGGGTGGGAACCAGGACTCTAGGCGAGGAGCCCGGGCGGCATCAGCCCTGCTTGCTGCCCTGGCATGGAGCTTTGCTCGACTTTTTTTCCCCAGCCGTGCAAAGGAGGCCCTGTGTAGACGCCAGTTCCCAAAGTTTCCTCAAGGGAACAGGGAGCTGGTTGACCATGGACTCTTCTCAAGATGGCTGGTGGTTCTATTTACATAATTACTCGGCGCTGAAAGCTCAGGTCCTAATAAATGTGCTCATGGTTGGCCGTGGCTTTAAGCTGCTATTAGTGATACTTTAATTATGGGTTAAGAGCCATTAGTGTGTAATTTGGTAGAGGAATTCTCCCCCCCTTTTAATTTAATGGTGTGATTTATATTGGGAGAAAGTAAGACTAGATTGCATCTTGAGATATTCTGGAAGTTTAAGAGAAGAGCATTCTAAGTTCCTGAACTTTCTTAAGCTGTTCGTTGTTTCAGAACATTAATTATCCCTGGTTTCGTCACAGGCTGCATTTAAGATTATCTTCCAGAATTGAAAGGAAAACACACACAGCTCGGGTGGTGGAGTCGAGTGAGAACCCCTACTTGGGGGTGTGAGCAGGGCCCCAGGGCCGGGCGACCACCGGATTTATTTTGTTTTCTGCCAGCCAGCAGCGGTTTCATGGAGTCCTGCTTCCATTGTTCTTTGTCTAATGAACTCAGAGGCATCAGGAAACTTAGGAGCATGGGGTGCCAGTCCGGGGGAAAGGGGCATGGAGCAGTGCTGATGTGCGCCGGCCGGGTTCGTCTCCAGCCCTGAAGATCTGGCGACCAGCTCTTCACCCAGGGGTGTGTTTGGAGGTGGACGTCTGCAGCTGTTTTCCTGAGGAAATTCGTTCTACCGTAGCTTTTAATTTGTAGGCGAGGGTCAGGAGTGAGGGGGTGGAAGTGAGGGAGAGGAGGAGGGGAGGGCCAGGGGAGGCTGGGAGGAGCTTGGCTAAGGAAGCAAGCCCAGGTGAACCCCGAAGCAGGCCCAGGTGAGCCCCAGAGCTCGCTGGCCAGGATGTGGCCAGTTGGGCCTCTCCTGGTTACAGTTGGGGGGGAGGGGGTGACAACACCTTCTTCGTCCCAGCTCCCCTCCCCTGCCCTCTTCTGGAAGGATTATTGTACTTGGCTGTTTCTGGGAACCCGCACAAGCTTTGTTTTGGAAGGCGGATTTCTCTTCCTTCCTCCCTCCTTCCTTCCCTATTGTCTGCAGGCCTTCAGTTCCTACAGGGTGTTTGGATTCGTCGGCAGTGAAGGCAGATATAAAAAAACAAGAATGGGCTGTAAGATAAGATTCGAAAGCTCTCCTCCTCAGTTCGGCTCTTTATTGTGAGGACGCTGTAGAAAAGTGGGTTGTGTCCTGAAGAAATCGGATCCAGGTTTAGCACCTCTCCATGTACACAAGGATATAAAACCAGTCTTACCAGGGCTTGTTTCTGACCGTATCTGTTTGATCTCTGCCTATCTGAGTGTTTATTCCG